ACCTTCTATAATTGAAACTTTGTTGTCTTTAGTGGAGCTCAGAGCGGCTCCTGCTCACTCCAGCTCCGAGGCCATGGCTGGCTGAAAGCAGGTATCTAGGGGTTTATTTACCTTCTATAATTGAAACTTTGTAGCCTTCAGTGGAGCTCAGAGCTGGCCGGGAAGCTTGGCTTTCTCCATCACTGGGGCAACCAAGCCTCCTGCTTGCTTCAGCTCCGTGGTTGCTGGCCGCCATCTTCGTTGGGTTAATTTGCATATAGTCGCTCTGATTGGCTGGTGGGCATGGCTTAAGGCATATCAAAGGTATGGTCAATTTGCATGTTTGTCTTTTATTAGATTAGATTTTATATTGTTCCCTAGTTTATACTCTCTGCTTCAGCTCATGCCTAGTTTCTCTCTTTTCTCATTCCATGATACCAAACTCCTTGTTTGTTTCTTATTCTTTTCATTACCTAGTTACTTTAGTTTTGATTCTGCTGCCCTTATGACCCCAACTTCTAAGATGGAAAATAACCTATTCTGCCTACCTTTCAGGGTTATTGCTAGAATCGAGCCAGACAGTGCTTTGAAAGCACATACTTTAAAAGGTCAAGTCTCATTACTAACTCTGTCAGTGTCAGCTCATTGCCTGCTAAGCACCTAGTAGGTGCTTTGAGAACACAGACTTGGTTCTTCTCTGGAAAGCCTTGTCCATACTCCATGATTTTCATTTCAAAGGACTCTTGGGTATCCGCACAAAAGAGAATAAAACAAGAGAGGTTTCAAGAGCTGGCATACTCTTGATTATTGTGCAATTTTTTAATGAAATGGCAGAAGACCTACTAGTAGACACAGTATACAAGATAGCAGAGCTAGGCAACAAAACTAGGAAATTAGGTACTTGTCTTTTACATCTAGAAACAACAGGATATTTTTTCCAGCTGGAAATGATTATAATTTCTGCAAGGTAATCAAACTGACAGGATTCTTTTTATCCCAAAATGTTCTTAATTTTGGTGTGTTTGTGATAAATAGTAGGCTTGCTAAAGTTAGGGACATGCCCTTGTCACTGAGGCCTTCACAGAGGAGGGTAGCTGACAATCTCTCATCTTACTTGTGTCTCTTTTCTCGTGTTTCTTGGATGAAGGAATACTTGAATGAATTAGGTATAGGGATGCCAGAAACAAAGTGTTAAATAATGGAGGGCTTACTTTACACATACTATTAATTCTGGGAAAAAATGAATGCCTTTTGCAAACTCTTCAAATAAAATACATCTATGTTTGTTATTTTTAGCGTTATTGAAATTCATGAGAAACTATCGAATCTTATGCAAATAGCTGAGCTATCATTGCCAGCAGTTCCTGAAGTTACTCCAGATGAAAACGTATCTGAAGCACAGGAAATAGAAGTGAAAACAATTGATAAAGAACTGGAAGTAAGTTATTAAGTAATGGAAAACTTTTCTACTGCAGAATGGATGTCCTTATACATAATTCCTCAAATTGTTTTTTACTTCATCGGAGCAGAACTACATAACTCTACTTGAACTTTGTGGTGGTTCTGCCCTCTTTTGTCTCTACGTAAAGTACCAGGGATGACCCAACTTTTGGGCACATACGTAGTGTTTTCTACAAAGCTCTTCTAAGCATACCAATTATAAGAATCTTATGGTGAATGGAAACAAAACCAATCTAGAGAAATCATTCAGGTATAACTGTGAATCTGAAGAAAGAATGCTCTGCAACTTTATAACATTCCTTGTCATTTCTCACTCTAAGTCTATGTGAGCATGTTTATTACCCAAGTAACGTATGAAGGAAAACTAGAAAATACAGAGAAGCATATGTCTTTCAGACTTTTTCAATGCATATTTTTTTCCTAATTAAAAAAGATATGATCCTGCCCAGCGGATGGTTCAGTTAGTTGGAGCATCGTCCTGTATACCAAAAAAGACTGTGGGATCGACTCACGGTCAGGGCACATACCTAGGTTGCAGGTTTGATCCCCGGTCAGGGCACTTGCAGGAGGCAACTGATCAGTGTTTCTCTCTCACATCAATGTTTCTCTCTCCTCTTTTCCTTCTTCTCACTCTAAAATCAATAAACATATCCTTCAGCAAGTATTAAAAAATGAGATATTATCCTTACAGTGTGTTATTAATATGATCACAGAGTTCATACAGTTGAGTGGCTTTCTTAAAAAATCTTTATTGTTGAAAGTGTTACATATGTCCTCTTTTTCCCCCATTGCCCCATTCTAGCATGCCTCCCATCCTGCCCCAGGCCTCCACCATTCAATTGTCTGTGTCCATGGGTTATGCATATATGCATATAAGTTCTTTGGTTGATCTCTTTCCACCCACCCATCCTCCCCTGGCCTTCCCTCTGTTCCCCTGGATCTATTTTGTTCAACAATTTATTTTATTCATTAGATTCCACATATGAGTGAGATTATGTGATACTTGTCTTTCTCTGACTTGAGTGGTTTTTATGATCACTGATGTTAGTGTTCTGGTGGAGAGGGTCATTGTCCTATTTCTCCTGCACTCTAAATGGAAACTGAATAGATGGAGATCAACATGTCAGCATCATTATTGCCCCCACTCCCCTTCTGCCCCTGACAGTCTTACCAAGGAGAAGAGGAGAAGAGTCCTGCAGGCAGGGTACCTCCAAAAATATAAACCCACATTTCTCAGAAGGGGCCAAGTCTAGCATGCCTTGTTGTTTTTCCCAAACCAGTCAGATAAGAATTAGTGATGGGTCCAAAAACAGCTGGAAGTGCCCTCCTCCTTCAGGAGTGGAGTGGAAATTCCTTACCTCCTATGGAAATAGAGGAGCAGGGAATGCTGTTCTTTCCTAATCACTTGCTCTTTGAATTTTCATTTTGTACATTAATCCAATTTCTTGAGATATATATTCTGTAGTTACTGTGGTAATTTTTTTAAAAAAATCAAATGGCGGTACAACATTTTCAATGGGAAAAAACAAACAAATCTTCTGCCCAACCTCTGCCGACAATTCCAGCCCCTCGGGTCCCATCTCTGTTTGTTTTCCTCAGAAAGATCTTTTAGGATCTTCCCTAACTTTTAGTCAGCTGTATCTTTTTTCTTAAATGACTTTCTGTTAGATTAATATTCAATTGGTTACAAAACATTTTAATTCTTAACGATGAAGACTGGTACAGCCACTGTGGAAGACAGTATGGAGTTTCCTCAAAAAGTTAAAAGTGGAACTCCCATTTGACCCAGCAATCCCACTTCTAGAACTATATCCCAAGAAACCAGAAACACCAATGAGAAAGGATATATGCACCCCTATGTTCATAGCAGCACAATTTACAATAGCTAAGATTTGGAAACAGCCTAAGTGTCCATCAGCAGATGAGTGAATTAAAAAACTGTTGTACATATACACAATGGAATACTATGCTGCTATAAAAAAGAAGGAACTTTTACCATTTGCAACAGCATGGATGGAACTAGAGACCATTATGGTAAGCAAAATAAGCCAGTGGGAAAAAGATAAATATCACATGATCTCACTCATATGTGGGATATAATGATCAACATAATTTGATGAACAAGAATAGATCCAGAGACAAATGGCAGGTGGGGAAGGGTTAGAGAGCTACCAAAGGACTTGTATGCATGCATATTACCATAACCAATGGACAGACACTGGGGCGGTGGGGGCTTGCCCGGGGTGGGAATGGCTGAGGGGGGAGGGTCAGTTGGGGAAAAAGGAGACATATGTAAAACTTTAGACAATAAATAAGTAAATAAATAAATAAATAAATAAATAGGAATAGGATGGGTATGGCTCTTTTTGTTTTCTTGTCTTCATGTATTCACTCGTTATGTGGAAGTGTAAACATTGGCAACTCTCCTGATTTTCAGACTATACTTGTTGGCATTTCTTCAGTCTGAATTCACCAGGACAGTGAGTGCATTTTTCATTATTGTGAAAGCAACATGCCCAGCTGTAAGAGGATTCATCAGGCAAGAACAGTTAGCCTTTGAAAAACGCATCTTTGCAGTATTTATGTCTCCTGTGCTCTGTGCTTGCATTTATTATAGAAATGATGCCTTAGAGTTTTAGTTACACATCCTTTCCAGGGTCCTCAACTGTTACAACAAGAATTACCAGACAATGATACTAATGAAATACTGAGTACCGATAACAAATCTCCCAATGGATCAGCCATCTCAAACTCATGAGGTTTCACTTATATATGATTCTTGTCCTAAATTCTATGGTTGCCCTTTCATGTCTGTTTTGGAGAGGAACTTGTCTCTTGTTTCATTTCTTCACTTCCTTTGCAGATCACTTACAATCACAGTCTTAGAGTCATAGACCAAACTCAGCAGGTTGCTGTCTCTGAGCCATGGTCTAGAATATTCTTTGCTGAAATCATCCTTGAATCATTATTTTATAGGTTATATATGGAAAATGTTCCCCTGCACCCATTTGTCTTTTTGGCTTAGATTGTCTAAGACAGGAGAGTGAGCATCCATAAGAGTAATAATTTTAGGTTGTACTCTGCCTAAAAGTATGGGACTCAAATCCTTTCCTGGGACTAATTGTTCCCTCCTTCCTAAAAATGATCCTTTCACTCAGGTACTGCTCTGAGATGGAGAGATGAGCCCCTAGGTTGGAGTGAGAGTCAGCAGAATTTCCCTGGGGATCACATGTACGTATCAAATTGACCACAATGAGCCCAGTATCTGAGCCAAGAGGTTGGCTCTACATATAAACAAATTAGAAATAAATGGGAGGGGGGGCAAGGGAGCATTTGAATATAGGCAGATGGAGAATCCAGAGGACCTATCTTGCCTTAACCAAGGTTTGGGGCTTGCTTTCATATCCTGACTCAAATGGTATATGTGAGTGTATCAATCCCTGAGCACAAACTCCTTTCAGTCCTGATGTTATCCTCTGTATTTTTTAATTTGTCTATTATTCAACTTAGAAAGAGCTTCTTCAGCTTTAAGTGGGGCATGTTTAGATGTGTTTCAGTTCTGTAAGTTCTTTATAAGACAGAATGTCATCCAATGGAAGAAAAACTAGTATTTGTTTAGGTGAATTGGCAAATTAGTTCATAACATTTGAAAGTTGATAAATGGAAGGAACATACAAAGTTTTCTTTTTTCCCAGTATACTAACCAGCACGTAAGAAAAAAGAAAAAAAAAGCAGCTAGATTCTGTAGGGTAATATCAGATAAATCCCATTGACTAAATCTGCCAGTTCGTTGTCATGACAACCTTCACTGGGAGCTAATTAGAAGTTAACTAGGGCACTTGAAGAGATCAATTCTGATGAAGAATTAGACAGTATTTCATAACCTCTATAATCTAATATATTTATATCTATCACAATATAGATTTTTGGTGGGATATTAAATATAAGGGTCCAGAAAAATGTGCTTTTGGTTGACATGGGAAATAGCAAATCTTGTTCTTTCTCTTTCTCATTCCCTTCCCTTTTTTTATTTTCTCCCCAAATCCCTATGGTCTGGAAGAAGCCAAAAACTTCAGAAAACAGACAGCAATTTAAGATGTATCTGGAGGGCTACAGAGCAGGTGTTCTATTCACTTCTGGCTTGAAAGCCTTGTATGTCCTTCTTCAAAAATGAACACTACCAGCTCGGAACGACCGAGTTATTTTAACCTATCATTCACAGTTTTAAGGGTACCTTCAGAGTTCATCAGGTACTTGAAAGCATATGAAAGATGCTACCCATCCTGGTTTTAAGACAAAAACTCCCTTTTGGAATGATAGCATACTCATATGAAAATCTTAAACTATGTTTACTAAGTCATTCAAGATTAGTTCAGCAAACATGTCCAGAATCACTGAACAAGGCAATTAGAATCTGTGTGTTGTCAGATTATCCCAAATATCAAAGTACTCTGAAAACATAGAACCAAATAAAATTGGACATTAGCATCAAATAACAAATTATTTTTGAGACAGTTATTTGCAAAATTTTTCCAGGCTTGGGGAGAGAAGGACATATAGAAATCAGTACAATTAGGTCCCTGTCATGGAGGAGCTTATTATTGTAGGAGCATGGCTAGGTACCCAGATGTCATTCATAATGAGCCAGCTGCCTGGTGGCCCACTTTAGCAAGCAAAGTGTGGTGTTTAAGGAAACATCAATCTGATGTTCAAAACCATAGAAAACAATCAAAATCTCTATGGCACCTCTTATAAGAACATCCAAGAGGGAATCTTTTTTGGGAATACTAGTACACAGAAAAACTTCTTTAAAGTCTTATTTTCCCCAACTATCTTGCTTTTAATATCTCTCTGACATCCACAGCAAGTCTTTAACATCTGTCTCATTTGGCTCAAACTCCTAAAACTTTCCCTTCCACTCAGTCTGTGTGGAGTGTTTTATCTCCTCTCCCCTTCCTGCTCTGGCTCAGCTCTTTATTATATAGTTCAACTTAGTCTCTCTTGACTTTTTCCAGTTTTCCTATCTCCCCCATTATTTGGATTCTATACCATACAAAAGAGTAAGGTTGTGGAATCCTTCCCTCTCAATGGGGCTTTTGATGCCAATGATTCTAATTTATTGTTTTTTTATATCTCATTCATATTGGTGTGTGTGTGTGTGTGTGTGTGTGTGTGTGTGTAGAGAGAGAGAGAGAGAACAAGGGGGGAAGGGAAAGTTGGAAGGAGGGAGGGAGAGAGGCTTGAGTTAGACTTTGTATTTGCTTAAATAGCTCAGACAGCATTTTATAGCTCCTATAAACTGAAAGGCCATTTTCCGTTGGGCCCCAAAACACCTTGTGCCCTTACCAAATTGTTTCAGCAATTATTTGTTTATATGTTTCTTCTTCTCTCTTGAACTTGTATTCCTTGGCTCAGGGGTCTTATTTATAACTAGAGGCCCGGTACATGAAATTCGTGCACTGTGGGGAGGTGTCCCTCAGCCCAGCCTGCACCCTCTCCAATCTGGGACCTCTCGAGGGATGTCTGACTGCCGGTTTAGGCCCGATCCCACAGGGGATAAGTTTAGCCTGTGGGATCGGGCCTAAACCGGCAGTCGGACATCCCTCTCACAATCCAGGACTACTGGCTCCCAACCGCTTGCCTGCCTGCCTGCCTGATTGCCCCTAACTGCTTCTGCTTGCCAGCCTTGTCGATGCCTAATTGCTTCCCTGCCAACCCGATCGCCTCCCACTGCCCTCTCTTGTTGGCCCGGTTGCCCACAACTGCCCTCCCCTGCTGGCCATCTTGTGGCTGTGGGTGCTGCCATCTTTGAGGGTGGGGCAGTCAATTAGCATATTCCCTACTTATTGGCTGTGGGCGCTGCCATCTTTGTGACAACATGAGGGTCAATTAGCATATTCCCTCTTTATTAGATAGGCTTTTATCTCCAGTATCTTTAGTAAGTGAAACACAGTGCCTTTTCAATACTTGCCTGTGAAACTTTTAGTTGGAGACTTGTGGAGCGCACTCATTCCTGAGGGTGAAGTCATGGGACTGAATCTCATATTCGGTGGACAGTGAACCACCTGTTGTGGCTAGAGTACAGGGTGAATGTGGTGGGAGATGGGGCTGAGAGATGGTGGAACTACGTGCTTCCTCCTCTGACTTCCTACAGTGCTGGAAGTCTGTCTCTCCTATCCCTCCCCCTAGACCATGACCTCTCTCTGTCTTTTTCACTTCCCATTACCACTCCACAGCACTTAGGATGCATTCAGTAGAGGTTGAACAAGTAAGTGGTGAATGAACATTGCTCTGCAGGAAAGGGTCATGGAAAAGCAGGGCAGGATGTGTGCTGGAGTAGGAGAAGGTGGGGCGGCAGCTGGAAGGGCACCTCATGATCTGCATTACATTTACTAAATTAATCCTGCTGGCATGTGAAGAGGGATGAGGGAAACAAGAGTTCGAAGGATGGAAAACAATTTAGGAAGCTTTTACCATACTGTAGGTGAAAGATGATGAGGATTTCAACTGAATCAAATAATTAGCCTTATTAATTTTGAAGCAACTCAGAATTGAATTTCATTCGTCATAGAATTAAGACGCTCCTTATTAAAGGAGAAATGGGCCCTAGCCGGTTTGGCTCAGTGGATAGAGCGTCGGCCTGCAGACTCAAGGGTCCCAGGTTCGATTCCGGTCAAGGGCATGTACCTTGGTTGCAGGCACATCCCCAGTGGGGAGTGTGCAGGAGGCAGCTGATCGATGTTTCTCTCTCATCGATGTTTCCAACTCTCTATCCCTCTCCCTTTCTCTCTGTAAAAAATCAATAAAATATATTTTTAAAAAAATAAAGGAGAAATGGCAGAGATTGAGCAAGGGTCATTCTGTGTCCTCCCAGGCTCCTTGCCAACCACAGCCCTGCTCCAGCAGCTCTTGATGGGATGGGTGAGCTTAGCGCCTTCCCTGTCTCCATTTCTGTGCTAGTGAGGCCTCACGAAATCTCTCACTGCCCAACACCTAATCAGCCAGTTTCTGACCTATGTACATGGTTTACCTCAGAGAATACTACAGAAACAGAATGTTGTTGAGGTGAAATTTCTGTTTGATAAATGTTGAAATAGGAATGAAAGGCATTTATGAGGTAACATTGCTATCCATCTATTATATGAAATGATTACTGATATGGACAGTGTCACTTTGCTTGATAGGTCTCGATAAAATCACGACAGTAACCCATCATGGTTGTTATTGAAACCCTTTATGTAGTAAAAAAATATACTTTAACCAATCCTAAGAACTCAATTAGAAATATAGAAAGACTGATAATGAGAAGGATATAGGAGTGGATATGTCTTCTCCTCTGTCTAGTACAATGAACCAGAAGCCTGGAAAGTTCATCAGAGGAAACTGGTATATCCTGACCAATGCGGGGTATCCTACCTGCCCTCTATCCTTTTTGGTCCCATTGAAGCTGGCTCATATTTAGCCATGATTACTGCCCAAGTGATTTGAGTAGCCTCTCAGCTTATTTACCTTTCTCTTGTCATATTTTTTTTTATCAGGCCAGTTCTCCATTTTTGGTGTGTGTATGAGAACATTTAAGTTCACCTTTAAGTTCACACTTAAGTCTCACTTCTTGGTTAGAACAGTCCAGTTCACCTTTAAGCTGTGGCCAGAATTATCTTTTTAAAGCAATTTGATTATTCCCTCAGTCCAGTGCCTCTCAATTTTCTACACAACAAAATCCAAATCCCTTGGTTTTACCTGTCCTGGTATAAGTTTGCCCCTTCAGCCTTATTTCTCACCACTTTCACTGCCATGCTTCCTATACCAACCCACAGGAAAAATCATTTCAGGTTCCTAGGTGCCTTGAATGTCCATTGTTTTTTGCTTGCCCGGCTTCCTCCAGCCAGAATGCCCTTGTCCCCATTCTCTGACAATTGAAATCCTACTATTCTATCAACTCTCAATTCATCTGTCCCTTTCTCTAGGAAGTCTTTCCTGTCATCATGTTTATACTTACTCTAGGTTTATACTTATCCCACCTCTAGGCTCCTACAACATGTCATAGCCATGCATGTTCTGACCACATTATACTTGGTATTTTATTTAGTTGTGTATGCATCTTTTTTTTTCTCAGTGATTGTAAACTTTGGGAGGATAGGGCCCATTTCTTCATCTTTGTATTCCACAGTACCTGCTATAATACCTTAAATATATTTGTTAAATTGAAGTAAATTAGCTATAGCTTTGGAACTCTAAAATTTGATCTTTTCTATGTTCATTCATTTATTAAAACTCAGTCATAACATGGTTTGGGGCTACAAGTTCAATTTCTTGCTTTTAAAAAATATTTATTGTTGAGAGTATTATAGATGTCCTCCCCTCCCTTCCCCACATTGCCCGCCTCCACCTGGATCCTGCCCCACCCCAGGCCTTTACCACCCTATTGTCTGTGTCCTTGGGTGACAAATTCTTTAGTTAATCTCTTCCCACCTCCTCCCCGCTTCCCTCTGAGATTCATGTCTATTCCATGTTTCCATGCCTCTGGTTTTATTTTATTCATCAGTTCATTTTGTTCGTTAGATTCCTTGTTCGTTTATTTTGATTTTCAGACTCAATTGTTGATAGATACGTATTTATTGCCAGCATATTGTTCATATTTTTTATCTTTTTCTTTTTTCTTGTCTTCTTAAAGACAACCCTTCAACATTTCATGTAATACTAGCTTGTGGTGATGAATTCTTAGCTTTTTCTTGTCTGTGAAGCTCTATCTGGTCTTCAATTCTAAATGATAGCTTTGTTGCCTTTATATTCTCAGGTTTTAACCAGCAGTGGTCAGTTGTAATGTAAGAATTAATGTACTTTTATTATTTTTATAATTCCTGAATGCTACTACATGTACATATTAATACTTCCATAAAAGCAAATTGTTGCTTCCTTCAGGGATGGATACTGGCAAGACTGTGCGGCAGGCATAGTTTTTCTCTGATAATGTTATAGTTATGACTCTTATCATTGTCCGTAAAGGAAATCTTCCACAAGCTCCAGAAAAATAGACTTGCTGGGGAGGAAAGATTTGGCAGCATCTGGTAAGTAAGCTTGTGCATAGCCAAAGACTGGAAATGCACAGTGGACCTCACAGAAAGTGGACTGGATTGTCAGGACCCATCACTATGCTCAGTGCCATGGGGGGGAGGGGGCGGGTAGATTCTCACTCATCGCTGATTCTTCCTCTTATTCATCCCACATCTGGTCGATGGCTGCCTTCTCCAACTCTGTATCAGGACCTCTCAGCTCACATGGCCAGTACTGACTGCAGCTCTCTTCTGTTGTCCTTCCTTATGTGGAGGATTTGACCGATTCAACCCTGCCTATGGGTAGACCCCTCATCGGTCAGATGTATTCACATAAACACAGCTCTGTCTATACAGTAGGGTGTGTGGTAGAGCTGTCAACAATAGACAACATATGATATTGACCTTCACTTCCTATTCATTTACTCTTTCCATTTCTTTCCCAATTCCCAACCATTCTTCTCTACTTAAATCCATTTCTGGACTCTCTTCCAGGACACTCTTCTGAGAAGAAAAGTGATTTTTCAAAATCTTATTTTCATGCGAATTACTTTACTTGTTATTCTTCTGTAACATGAATTTTAACAGTGAATGTGCAGGCTAAGAATCCTAAAAAATATATTATTTTTAATTAAATCTTGTCGCTTGTAGCCATCCTGTAGTTTTTAAATACCCCTCTAAGTCTCAACCTGAAAATTGAATTTAGGTGATAAGTCAAGAAAATACAAATGAAATAAATAGTTTATAATTAAAATGTCTAATATTTAACAATAATATCAACCTTACTATATTGTTTTCTTATTTATAGAAAATGATTATTGACTGTTGCTCAGAAATAATAAGTCTGTTTATGAGTGATAGAGAGACACAACCACTATCTAAGGTATGTATCTCTTTTAAAACTATATTTGACTCGCTCATAAGTATCACTGTTGCTATGGAAATGGAAATCCAGAAAACATCTATTATAAAAGTATCAAGGGACTAACCCTTCTTAATGTGAGTGATAAACATGAATTTATGGAGCATGTTATTTTGTTTAAAAAATATTCTTTAAAAAATCAACTAATACAGAAAATTATGAAGAGAATAATGTTAGTCATTTCAAATCTACCATTCAGAGAATAACCACTATTAACATTTTGGAGAATATCTCAAATGTTTTCAATGTATATATAAACTTAGATTTTTTGCATCAGTAGAATCATAATGTACATGCATCTGTAACTTGCTTTTTTCATTCAATAATAATGTTATGGACATATTTTTACATGAAAGGTCTACCTTCTTGTATCTAATGCCTCATAATAGTCTATTTTACCTATTTCTTGTGTCAGGCTTTATTTAAATAACCACATTTTATTCATGGATCTTGAGGGTGATAGATTCTAGTATAAACATATCTTCTGCATCATCTTCTTAGAGTTAATTCTTAGGAATAAGATTTTGGAATAAAAAGTATATATGCTTTTTTTATTGTGAGTTCTTCAGAAATAGAACCATTTTACATTCCTGCCAGCAATGGACAAGGTTCTAGTTTCTTCACATCCTCACCAACACTTGATATTTTCCTTTTTTTTTTTTTTTGGATGATGATCACCATTATAATGAGCGAAGTGCTATCTCATTGTGATTTTGATTTGTATTTTCCTAATGACTAATTTAGTTGAGCATCTTTTCATGTGCTTATTTGCCATTTGTGTATCTTCTTTGGAGAAATGTCTGTTTAGTCTTCTGCCTGTTTTTGAAATGGCATGTACATTTTGATGTATAATTGCAAATGGCTCTCCAGAAATGTTGCACCAATATTTTTGCCCATCAGTGGTAGATGAGGGGGCCATTTCCCCTTCATGTTCATCTACACATGTTTTTCTTCTCCTAGTTTCCTCCCCTCTCTCACTTTCCCTTCTTCCTCTCCTCCTCTGCCTCCTTCTCTTCTTCTAACTATTGTAGGTCTGACAAATGAAAAATGACATTTTCACTTTTTAAAATTTTTTATTAATAAGGCCAAATATACTAGTAGTTATGAGTTTGTTGGTAGTCTGTGTTTCACCTTTTGTGAAATAGTATTTGTTCATTTAGTTAGTGAATAGGTATTATTTTAAAAAATATTTTTATTGATTTCAGAGAGGGAGATGGAGAGATATAAACATCAATGATGAAAGAGAATCATTGGCTGCTTCCTGCATGCCCCCTACTGGGGATCTACCTAGCAACCCAGGCATGTGCCTTCACTGGGAATTGAATCGTGATCTCCTAGTTCATAGGTTGACCCTCAACCACTGAGCCACACCAGCCAGGCAGTCAACACATATTTAGAGTGAACTGTCTGTGCATTAGGTTCTTCTTTCTAGGCCCTGGAGAGCAAGGTCAGAATAAACAACAAGGACTCCACTGTCTTGGAGCTACTATTGTTGTGAAGCAAATAGTATATAAATCAATAAACTAGATAAGTTAAGATTTGTTAAGTGCTATAAAGGAAAAAAAAAGGGTGATATGTTAGAGTATTGGTCAGCAAACTGAAGCCTATGAACTATATCTGTCCCATTGCCTATTTTGTAAATAAAGTTTTACAAAGGGAAGACCTCTCATAGGATATGACATTTGAAGTAAGACCTGAAATATTACACTGTGTTCCTCCCACTATATCATTAGTTTCTTGGGGGATAGGGACAATGCTAACTTAATCTTTCAATTCTTACAGTTCCCTGTATATTATTTTAATTAGTTACTGCTTCTTCAATTGAATTAAATTCCATTTCATGTTAAACACTTGAAATTTAATATTTGCTTTTTTAAAATATTTATTTGACCATTCATGTTCTTTCCCATTTTTAAAATGGGGAACTTAATTTTTTAGTATGGAAATACATAGATTTACTGTAGCAAGCCATTGGTAATAAAATAAAACTTAAACCTAATTTTGATCAAACTGTGGTTAAAAGCAGGTCACAGAAAAAAAGACACATGATTTTGTATAGGTTTTGGCTTTTGACAGACTAGACTTGAAATCCCAGCCTTGAATCTTGTTAGTCATATGACCCTAGGCAAGTTTTCTCAAATGGAAAATGGAGTAATAATGCCAATCTTTCACAGTTGTGATTACTAAAGCAAATAATATATGTTAAGTATTTGGCAAAGGGCCTAGTCCAAACAAATGTTTAGTAAATATTAGCTATTTCACCGCCATCATTATCATCAACATCATCATCATCCCTACTATTGTCCTGCCTTTCATGTGTGAATGTGTGAATTCTTCATCCCCTAGTTAACTAATTTTAAACAGACTTTTAGCATCCAAATTTGTTTTGAAATATTAATAGACAAAGAGAAGAAAAGTGTTAAAGGTAGAGAGAGAACTAGAACCCATTTTCTTTGCCTGTAAAGTAAATCACTGTTGAATCCTAGAGGAATTAGGTCAGTGTGCCGGATCCCAACACAAGACCCCAGTGGTGAAAGGGTCACGGGTCCAAGAGAAGGTGCCTCCCAGTTGAAGCCCCTGCTAATGCTTCACTGAAGCCAGACTTACTGAGTAGTGCTGGTCGGGGGCGTGGGCGTTAGGAGCTTGTTCCAAGAAACAAATTGTTAGACAAAATTACATGCCTTAGTGAAGTTGTTTTTATCACCGGGATGAGATCTTGCTGGGCAATTTGGTTCTGTACTGAACATACCTATTGCAATCACCTTTGCCTGTTATTGCCTCTTTCTAATTAAAATGGATATTACACACACAGCTTGTGACAAAAAGAAACTGAGAATAGCGAGGAGATGAAGGAAGGGAATGAGTGCTCCATGCTAACCTTCTCCGTGATTACTCACAGAATATAAATGACCATGAGGTACAATTTCTGGTCAACTAATAATAAAACTTCCTTTTAATTGCCTGCATAGGTTCAAATTATTGCAGTTTCCAAGTTGCCAGGTAGGATTCAAACATGATGCTAAAAATATTCTTTGTGTTCTTGCTGTGACTGATCATGGGAAGGACAGGTCACCACCAGTAATTATCGACTTCCAGCTGCATGCAGAACATTGGTATAGACACTTTTCTTGTTGCAAAGGCAGCATAGGTTAAGTTCCCTGCACTCAGTTAATTTTATGTTTCATACTGGTTCACATGATACAAATATATTTACCTAATCATTGTATCAGTGCGGTGTGTGTGTGTGTGTGTGTATGTGTGAACTGAACTGACTAGAATCACACAGAATAAGTTTGGAGAGGAGATTCCAAAGGTAGGGAAGGTTGATCTAGGCCAAGTGATAAGACACATTGTATAAGGAAATTACCAAAGAGCTTTTCTGGAGATTACCAAAGAGTTTTTCTGGGCTGCATGAGTTCAGTAGGATATTTTTTTATAGTTCAGGATTTTTAGCTAGACCCAGAATAAAATCTGACAATAATGATATTAATCACTAAAATGATTACTACTAATAGTGGTAGTAGTAATAATATTCATGGTTAATATTTGTTGAGCACAGGGCATGTGAAAACATTGTTCAGTGTTTTATTATCTCATTTAATATTATAAGAATCCTATTAAATTGGTTACTACTATTATCCTAATTTTGGAGATGAGGAAACTGATGCACAAGGGAATTAAACACTGTGCTCAATGTCTCCCAGCTTCTAAGTGGAGGAGGCAGGAGTCAAATACAGTTCTGCTTAAAAATCCAGGATCTGTGTCTTTAATTAAATTATACCCACTGAATGTTCCATTGGAGTAGTGGGAGCAGGTGCTACAGGAAGTTGAGGAGTAAGAGTGGGAAAATGAAAGTTGCAAGTGTAGATGAGACTTTAAGGAGGTCTGGGTAAGAAGTGTGGAGAGAGACACAGAGACTAGGGAGGAAGTTAGGACAGGAATGGTGGGAAGATGTTTTCAGTAAGAAGTATGGAGAAGGTAAAAGAACAGCTAGAAGGAGACACAGAGTCACAGATGTGTTTACATATATTCATTTGTTTAGTCATTTGCATCTTTAATTTTATGTCTGATGTATTGATTCTATCATATGACTACCTATGCTCTATAGCCTTTTATGTTCTTACTAGAGGCCTGGTGCACAAATTCGTGCACTGGTGGGGTCCAGCCGGCACACCCCAATGGGGGTGGGGGTGCCTGCTCCGAGGTGGGGCCAGCCAGGGCTAGGGGCCACAGGCGTTCCAGTTGTTCCACCATTCAGTTGATTTGCATGTTACCCTTTTATTATATAGGATGACCCCTGCCTATCAGCTGAAATTATTGCTCCACAATGCTAGTATCCTATCTTTTGCTAGATTATCACGCAAAAATTGGTAATAACACATTAAACCTATATTACTCTAACGCAGAGTCCTTCTTTCATCACTTTCTCTCAACCCTGTGGTTTATGTCTCTGTCCTTAATATTTTTTTATCAAAATATGTTATAATGAAGTGCTTTCTGGCAACCTGCTTAGGCAATTTTTAAAATCTGTCAGCACCTCTCCCCAAATATGCTGGGTAACTGTCATGGAGTTGCTGAGTGTGTCTACACCCAGACAGGAGAGGATAAGCTAGGTGGACTCTCAAGGCACCCTTGGAAATAACCTATGCAGTTTTTCTGGGTGTTGGATGGGGTTGCATGCACCCCTACTTATGTGGGACAGCTTCCATTTCACTTTTTATGGGATCTTAAATCCTAGAGAGCAGAGCTAGCCTGTTTACTTTCCTTTGGCTAATTTTATTACACTAGTGTGTGCCTCTTCCTTTTAACACAGTACGCCAAATGGTGTCAATGACAGTACTCTTTTTAAACTCTCCTTTACATCACTGAGCACAAGGTTCCACATATTCCATAGTAGGTGCTTACTAAGTCTTAACAAAATTAAATCTATTAATATAACTTTTGTTGGTTCAATTGAAACT